GAAGCAGCTGATGATCGCTGCTTCTTGCCGGCTCTGACGCAGCCCCAGGAGGGCGGCTAGAAAACGCCGCCATTCCCTGCAGCAATCTCCACCGGAAGCCAACAGATATAATTCTTAATATTTTCAATATACAAGTAACAATGACATCCATACTGTATATAACATATTTTCTGATTGATTTATATTTCAATTGTATTTATAAAAGTAATCTTATTAAATCACTATACATCCTGTTTTCAGAATTCTTATTTATACTTAATTTCCCCTCAATATTCAGACCATTCTTATCAGTCACAATTTTTTCAAAATTGGTTACCTTTAAATATCCAAACTTTTTACTTAAACCATCCCAATATTTTCATATTTCATATATTATAAAGATACTATACTATTTATATATCTTATAGCAGTGGTGACAAACCTATGGCACGGGTGCCAGAGGTGGCACTTGGAGCCCTCTCTGTGGGCACACATGCCATTGCCCCAGCCTTGCCTCCGCCCACGACCCCCTCCTCACCAGCAGCCTCCCTGGAGGAGAGTCGCCCCTGAGCGTGGCCCATGTGGAGCAGCGCAGCCAAGGACATGGCAGCCTGGCAGCGTAGACAAGACTGTGCCCTCACGCCCCAACATGCACAGTTGATGCTGCGGGGCGTGGGCAGAGGGCGTGGCCGCCATGGCACTGCTGGGTGATCTGCGGTAGGCCCTGGAGGCGGTGAGTGGCCCTGCGGGCAGGGTGGGGTGGGGCAGGTGCGGGGCCAGTTTTGGCGCACTCGGTCTCTAAAAGGTTCGCCATCACTGTCTTATAGCATCCACATATAACATCTTTTCTGGTCGGCTTATGTTTCAATTATATTTGTAAAAGTGATCTTGTTAAGTCACTATATGTCCTGTTTTCATAATTCTTATTTAAGAGTTTTCCCTCAGTCTTCAAATCATTCTTCTTGGTCATACTTCTCTCAAATTAATTGCCTTTAAATGTCCTAACTTTTCATTCACATACATCGTCCCAATATATTTACATTTCATATATTATAAAAAATACTATACTACTTACGTCTCTTACTATAGCTCCTTTATATCCAAAATTTTCTATTATTTTAATCATATTCAATCAAGTGTTTAATCATATAGTAGTACTCCATCTGGTAAGTCGAATCAGGTCTCTTGAATCTAACTCTAGCCTTCTTCTTTTGCCAAGTAGCTTTTCAAGTTAGTATATTCCACTTGCCAGGGGATTTTTTTGTATTTTTGTAAATATTGTTGGGAGTGAGAAAGACAGGTTGTATATGATGTACACTTTGCTTTGATTAATAATCTAGGAATGGGTTTTCAGCCTTTTTAAAGACATGATAGCACTTTTTCAAAATGTTTCTGGATATGTGTTTCTTTCTTCGATGGTCAATTTGCGGTTATAACATTTATACAAGTTAACTTAGTAGGTTCTCATCCTTGACAGGCAACTGTTGAATATAATTTGTTCACATTCAGATTAGCATATTACAATTTCTACATAACACTATCTTTGAAATATATTTGCATCTACTATTAGAAGAAAATGCTGCTTCTATGGTAGTAGTGCTAACACAATATTTGATCAGATACTGCTCAGTTCCAAGAATTGGTTACTTCTTTCAAAGTCTGAAATGGTTTCATGTAAAAATACCCCAAATGGGTTTTTCCATCAAGTGGGATAAGAGAAATTAAGTTCTAAAGTAAGGCTAAGTCAGTATATATATTAGACAAAATTGCCTTGGTTGTGGTAAATAGCTCTGAAACCTATCTAGATGTTTATTCCCTGCTGGAAATATAACAGAAATTTATTCCCTTGCTTGGGTTGCCATTGTTCAATGTCACTTCTGTCTTGTTTTAATTGCTGCCCATTTTATTCTCTATTAGTCTTAAATATTTTTTACATTCTTTTACTACATTGAAACCTCTAAGGCTCTTGGCCAAAAGTGGCAAGTATGTTTTAATACAAATACATAATATTAGTATAATTTATTTCAAAATACTTTTGTATAGCCTGTAACCATGACTCTTAATATTTTATATTTTAAATGATAAAGGACAATACTGATAATTAGAGAATGAGATAAAGGGTACGCAAAGACCAAAATAAACGTATTATGTTGCAGTTCTGTTTACATTCCTTAAATGTTTTTGCAGTATTCAATATCAGAAACTTATTTTTCTAAAGGCTGTTAACTAGAATTATAGTAATAAATCCATTTAGAATGGTCACTTATTTCTTTTGCCATGAGCTGCTTTTTGGATTTAAAAAACATCTGCTTAGCCCATTATATTTGACCCAGCTGGAGAAAGGATGTTGGCAAGAGGGATGAGAATAGTTGTTCCCTCCCTCTGTACCCCTTGCCCAATATTCAACTACCTATCTCTTGAATTTTATTCATATTATTGGACCCTTTGGTCAATTTCTTGAAGTAGTGAATATGTTTTAGAGCTGAATTATTACTGGTTTAGGTGAAGGCTCTCAGTTGTGGGAAAGTTCTGTTGTATTTTCTCATCAACCTACTGATTTTTAAACCGCCCAGAGTTACCTTATTTAGAAGTTAGGCGGCATATAAATTTCATACATACATACATACTCACTCTATGCAAAAGAGCCTTAATTTTCCTCAAATGTGGTCCAGTGTTTGCTTTCAACAATTTAATGTTGTTTACTATGTGGATGAGATTATCAGAAGTTTGGGGAACATTCCAAAAAAAGTTATTTCTTAGCACTTGTTACACTGCAAAACAGCCATCCCTGCCCTCTAACTAATTTAGTATGAAAAATTATGAATGCCATGTTTATTAAAACTCTTAGCATTAATGTTCAGTATCAGTTATATGCTGAATGCATCTTGAAAATAAGCTAGTGTTATTCAATATACACTATTTCCAGAAAAAGGGTGGCATGGGATGGTGGAAATCTTAGTGTCAGTCTGATTTCTCCCCCTCCCCTATATTCCCCACCCGCCTGCCTACTGCATAGGGCCTATTTTCTGCCCCTTGACAGTTTCTGCCTAACAAATGGTGTTTCTTTTTTACAGCATAATGATCCGGGACTTGTTGTGGTGATGGTAAACTTAGTGGTAATTTTTAATTTTCAGACTGAATTTACTTCTTTTTTGTCATCAGAGCACCAAATATGTTAGGCTTACTTTTCTCTGTTGTAGCCTTCATCTTTTCTGCTTGGTCTTTTCGTTTCCCTTTTTTTCCTTTCCATTTCTTCATGCACTCTTTTGTGTCTGATCCTTGTTCATTAAGGGTTTAATGCTCAAAAGGGATGTTTGTGTTAGAACTGCCAAAAATTTGTGGAGATTCACTTCAAATACCAAATCTCTAATACTGTCCAAACTTGATCTCCCCCCACCTTTCCCAAGCACATACTGATTGTTAGCAGTTGCTACGACAATTCAATAGACAATTGAAATTGAAAACATTGACTGCCTTAAGAAGCAAAAGTACTAATGTATTCTTCATATTATAAAGGAATCTGTCATATTCATTTGGACAGAACAAATGTCACTCCTATAGAAATATAGTAAAAATTAAAGAAAAATTATATAATTTAAAATACAGTATTACGAATGTGGTTCTTTTGCTCAAAACTGCAGTCATCGTTTTGTATACAATTGGGCATAAATCCCCTTCGTCCCTTACCCTTCTTACTGAAAATGTGTGTGTATATATATATATATATATATATCTAAATAAAAATTGTACCTTAAAATGCTTTTTCACAGATGGCTAGTGTTTACAAATTTGATCACCCTACCCAGGTTTCTAAATTTGAAATACAGCAGGAATTTCTCCCTAGAAAAGTTGTTCAATCTGGAAAATGTTGAAACGTATTCCCAAATTAAATTTACATTGGGGATTGGTTTGCTTCTATTTTAATGGCACATCAAGGGCAAAACTTTATTTAAAACTCATGTTAAATATTGTGAGGAATTACAATTCCTCTTTTATAATTAAGAAATAGAGACAAAGCTAATAAGTCCTCTGACAGTAGTGAGACATGAACTCGGATTTCCCAAGTACAGTCTTGTCAGTTGGGCTACTTGTCAAAAAAATAACTCAATTTTTTTTAGAAATGCAATTACTCAAGTATTCAAAAATATTATCTGTTATGCCACATGAAGTCCAGTTATTTCATCACGGTTCAAGCTTGGACATCTTTTGGCCCAAGGGTATAATTATGTATTTTTGAATGAGAGGAATATTGTTAACACCAATCCCCCCAGTTTGATAATGAGGGAAGTAAACATTTTGTTTTTTCACTCAAGGTATGCACCAGATAAGGTAAGTAATTCCTTTTTACCAGTGCCCTTACATCACAACTCACAGCGCATGTTGTGATGTAAAAATAAACACCCCCCCTCCAAAGGCTGTGATAGTCGAAGTGCTCGTCTGCCCCATTTTGCTTTGTTTGGCTGGTTATGAGTGAATTAAAATACATATGGAATCTTCAGCATAGTTTGATTAGTTCAAAGTCAGTTTTCTTCGCAACTAGTCCTTTTCACAGCTTATAAGGAAAGGATATGGCAGAATCCAAAAAGCCCATTTTGAGTCTAGCAAGGTTTTAACATCAAGATTAATCTTCCAAAACTCTGAAATAATTGCATGCTAAATGGGTGTTGCTGGGCATTGGTAATCTGTGTCCTATGATCTGAGAGAATGCATCTTTTTCATTCCTCAATTTTTTTGATCTTCTAGTGTAAAGATAATTAATTTTAATATTAACTTGCTCAATTATTTGGGCCAAAAGCTAGAAGCAACAAAGAGAAAACAAGGCTAGGTCTGGCAATCAGGATATGTAGGCTTATGATTGTAAGCTGTGAGAATGGCTTGTGTTTGGTTCTCTGTAGCTTTCTGGTCTCTGCACTCCAAAGGCAAGATCTCTAACCAACCCCAAACCAATGTGTACAAAGCGACTTACCAGAGGATAATCATTCTGTCTACTCACTCAACTGATAGATCTGATTCCCTTTCAGGTAGAACAGATCCTATCCCTATCGTTGTCAAATATGATGTCATGGGCATGGGACGTATGGAAATGGAGGTAAGTGGTCCCTGCAACGTACACTTTGTATCAGGCAAGATTAAGTGTCTATACATACTTAAAATTATGAAATGTATCTAAATGTTTCTCAAACTGGTGGACTAGTTTTCATCATCGAACCCCAAGAATTATGAATGTTATAATCCAATGCACATAGAGGGTATCAGTGGGAAAGAATCTTTTGTTCAAAAAAATAATAGTGCTTCAGTATAATATAAATGTATAATAGGCTTCAATTAACAAATCTGAGTTTTCAATTAAAGGTCATTTAATTAATGTAAGCATGTTTTAAAAATTAGTTGGGCCTGTATGGCTCCTGTATATCAAAGTGGGTTTCTTTTTGTTTTTTGTTTTTTTTTGCAAAGAACAAGTTTGCTCAGCTCATTACTATCAGGACACACTCAGAAGTAATATATGTAACTTAATGCCTGAAGAATGCAGAAGATTTTATTTATTAGATACACTGGAACAGTACTTTCTCTTTTTCAGATATGGAACCAGATATCCTAGCATTAGGTCAGAAAAGAGTCCTTCTGATTTCCACACAAAGAATCTCTTCTTTAGCTATCCCAGGATACAGGCACAGTCTGTAACAGATGCGCATTTTAAAGAATCTACTTGAAACATAAATCATCTGAAAATTAGAACTCCTGTATCCATAGATAATGGTAGAGCTTTTTAAATAGACTTTGCGAAACATTTGGAAGAAATTTTCATGAAGGAGATTAATAATAATAATAATAATAATAATAATAATAATAATAATAATAATAAAGTTGGAAGGGACCTTGGAGGTCATCGAGTCCAAACCCTGCTCAGGCAGGAAACCCTACACCATTTCGGACAAATGGCTGTCCAGTCTCTTCTTAAAAACTTCCAGTGTTGCAGGGCCTCAAAAGATTGTGTTCTCTCTAAGAGTTGATGTCATGCTATCTCAATACAGGTAGTCCTTGACTCACAACAGTTCCTTTAGTGAGTGTTCAAAGTTATAATGGCACTGAAAAAAACTGAGTTATGAGCATTTTTCACACATACGACCATTGCAGCATCCTCATGGTCATGTGATGAAAATTCAGATGCTTAGTAGCTGGTTCGTATTTACAATGGTTGCAGTATCCAGGGGTCATGTGATCAGCTTTTGGGATCTTCTGACAAGCAAAATCAATGGGAAAGCCAGATTCATTTAACAACAATGAAACTAACTTAATAACAATGATTCACTGTGGCAAGAAAGATCGTAAAATGGGGCAAAACTCATTTAACATGTCTCACTTAGTAACATAAATTTTGGGCTCAATTGTGATTGTAAATTGAGGACTACCTGCATGTTCGTATATGTGCAGGAAGCACCCCAAGAAACCCATGCTGAGCTAAATAGTATAGACATGCTGTTGAAATGGCCATAAAGAGCAAGGTTGTTTTCTTAAAATATAAGCTGATTGATGTTGCTAGTAAACTTAAAATAAGGTTGGACAGAATAAAATGGTAGTTTGGATTCTGCTCCTTCTGCCTGCACTTTCTGCTGTTGCACAGGCCTTGAAAATATATTTCAATGTGAGAAGAATGTTTTTCATTCAGCCATGCAAGTATGTGGAATTAGTTTACATACATGACGTAAAGCAGGGGTGTCAAACTCAATTTCATTGAGGGCCACATCAGCATTGCGGTTTCCCTGGGGGGCTGAGTGGGTGTGCCCAGGGCGGGTGCAGCCTACTGAGTGGGCGTGGATGGAGTGGGTGTGGCCTACTGGGTGGGCATGGCCAGCTCTACATCGTTCGTGTCAAGGGTGCCTGTGGGGGCCTGGGCAGGAGTGGGACAGATCTGAGGGTCTCTGGCAGAAGGGGGTGGGACCAGGGCAAGTGCCAAGGCATGGTCCACTGGAGGAGCCTCACTGTTCCTCTCAGGCCATGCGGGGGGGCTGGATGGTGGTGCGGGCTGCCCGGAGCCCTGGGCAGCAGAGGTCAAACACCCACCCTGGCCCTCGAGTACCCGCGGCACCAAGCCCAGCCCCACTTCCCCAAGGGGGCGCCCAGCTGCACTTATCTCCTCCTCAAGGCTGCTGCTGCTGTGCTTGCTCTCCTTAGCCAGGTTGCTCATGATGGGTACGAGGGAAAAGTCAGAGGGAGGCCCATTCCCTCTCCATGGGAGGAGACCTGACTTTGTATCCAAAGCTTCCTTAGCAATAGGATGGAAGACCCCCAGGATAGGCCAGGAGGAGGGGACAAGGGGATGGTGAAAGGGCAGCAGGGCAGGACTAAGGCAGGATTTCCCTCAGACCCTCCCTTTCCTTCTTTCCTTCCTTCCTAAGTACAGAGTGGTGGGAAAATATTTGAGATGAGGGAGGGAGAAAAACAGGCAAGAAACGCAGCTGGGGAGGTGTCACCCTTCGTGAGGAATGGAAATGCACCATCACCTGGAAGTAGGCAGCACATGGCCCTCACCTACTTCACATATCTGGCTTGGTGGGCTCTGGGGAAGGGGATGCCATGAGCAGCGTGAGAGTCAACATTAGCTGCAGGATGCCGCCCAGCCCCCAGCCTGCCCTGTCTCGACAGGCAGCGAAGTGCTCTCCTCACAGCGCCGAGAGGCTGAGCCAGGCAGCGCGAATCTGAAAAGAAGTGCGGCGGCGCCCAACCCCCAGCCTGCCCGGTTTTGGCAGGCAGCTCGGTGCTTTCCTCACTGCCAAGAGTCTGAACTGGGCGGCGCAAATCCAAAAAGAAGCACGATGCCACCCAGCCTGCCCGGTTTCGGCAGGCAGTGGGGCACTCTCCTCACAGTGCCGAGATGTTGAGCCGGGTGGTGCAAAGCTCGTCAGCTTTGCACCTTGCTGCTTGCTGAAACTGGGCAGGCTGGAGGCTAGGCAGCATTGCACTTCTCATCAGATTCGCGCCACCCGGCTCAGCTCTTTGCGCTTTGAGGAGAGTGCCCCGCTGCCTGCCGAAACCGGGCAGGCTGGGGGCTGGGTGTCGCCGCACTTTTTTAGATTCACGCTGCCCAGCTCAGCCTCTTGGCGCTGTGAGGAGAGCGCCCCGCTGCCTGCAGAAACCCCTCCCCCAGAGCCCATCAAGCCAGATATGTGAAGTAGGCGAGGGCCATTTGCTGGCCACTTCCAGGCGATGGTGCATTTTTTCATTCCTCACAAAGGGTGACACCTCCCCAGCATGCACCCAGGAGGTGGGGCTGACACGGCAGGGGCTGGTTCCTCGCTGTTTCCAGACGGCCTTGCGGAGCTAAGACTGAATGCGTTTCAGCATAGATGGCCACCACAAAATTGTACATTGGCTTCCGGCCGGCCTGGGCCAGGACCAAGGCAGTGGGGGCCATTCCCTCACTGTTTCCAGGATGGCTTCGCGGGCCACATGAAACCACTTCGTGGGTCGCTTCTGGCCCGCGGGCCTTGTGTTTGACATGTCTAATGTAAAGGTTAGATTATAGGTTTGAGACAGGTAACCAAATTAAATTATCACAAAGTGGAAAAGGCAAGGTTTTTTTTTTTGGTTTTTTTGTGTTTTTTTTTGTAGATCTGCTGGCTGGAGTTTATTTTCCCCCATGCAAAATTAATAGAAGGAAAATTTCCTATACTACTTCAAAAACTGATGTATGTTCAAGTCCCAGATTTTAGAAGGTTCTTTAATTTCAAATTTATTTTCTATTTAACATCTTTTTAGGGCTTATCAATGACAGTTATGTACCATGGAACTTTCTATTACTCATCAAATGTTTCTGAAGTAGATATTGGATGTTTTCATTAGAAAAAGGCTTCCTGTGCCTCATCCCAATTTTCTTAAGACAGTGGAATTAGATTTTTCTCTATCAAATGGAATTTTATTATTCAGAAGTAACAAATCATTAATTGCTGGCTGCAGTTAATATCCAGTCACAGAATATATACTTTTTCTTTAAAAGTTCCTAATCTTATTTTGTAGTTGAAAGTTTTCATTCAACAGCATAGGAAAGAAAAAAGACACTATTCTATATTTTTAATTGGCGTGAGTGGGCATGTACTTTGCACATTTTTTCCTTTTGTAGATTTCTACTACAAAAAAAGTCGGTCCTCTTTTTGGGCTCCAAAATAGATCAGATTTTCTTGAAATAAAATGTCTAGAGATTTTTAGCAGGAGTAGATTAGTACATTATTGCACTTTTTTATTTATCTTGCAGATGAAATAAACTGTTTGAGATAATAAGATATGTTATTATTTATTAATATTTCCTACTCACTGAATTTTAATGCCCAATGTGTATGATTACCTAATTTGTCTCTGCTTTGATAGCTTGATTATGCTGAAGATGCCACAGAAAGGAGGCGGGTCTTGGAAGTGGAGAAAGAAGATACTGAAGAACTAAGGCAAAAATACAAGGTACTTTCTGCTGAACTAGTTAAAGAATCATGAAGAATTTTCCATTGCAATAGTCTATCTTAGCTAAAGCATCTCAGTGTAGAATCATTTAATATAATGTAAAATACAGATTTTATAAGCCAAGCATGCCTAAGAAAGATTTTGTGATATGACAAGTTGATATCTGTACCACCTAATATAGGAATAGGCAAATTTGCAACATGGGATACATCATTTTAATTTGGTTTGGTTAATAACATGGTGACATTATCAAAATGATGTATATAATTTTTTGAAGGGGGTTGCCATGTTTTTTTTTAGCTTTTTAGGTATGTTAAGGTCTAATAGAAGTCATTTACACATTTTGTCATTGATGTTTTCCTTTCCAAATAGTTTGAAATTGTACATTTGGTAGATTTGCCAGATTTTGGCAATGTGATTTCTGAAAAAAAATAAATAAAGTTCTTTTATGTAGGAAGCAAAAGAGAAAGTAAGAAATCACATTGCATTGAAATCAAATTACTCTTTCCTTGTATACATCTTCTTTTGGGACATTTTTTGTACTCTTTAGCCAAGCTCAAGTGACATTCCTTTGAATCCTCCAAGAAGCATCTTATCCAGTTATTTTCTTCTCCATCCTCATCTGTACAAGTCTCACTGCTAATATCAATCTGCTGTATTTTCCTCTCTCCAAAATGCTTACTTTGTTGATGACCTAATATAGGTTGTAAGTACTCTGAACTAGTATCAAATAATTTTAAGTGCTTAATGTTTGTTATCTCAGCAGTGAGTTAAGTAGACTGGTAACTGGGAATTACACTTAATATTTTTGTTTAAGTAGTAATCTTTAGTGGGTGAGGTCAATGAAATAAAGCGAGAAGTCAAACCATACTTTTTAATACCTACAAAACTGCTATTTTGTAAATTCTTTCTTGAAACAATGGAAAATTGCTTCATCAATTTTCTGTTATTGCACCACTGAATTTTGAAAACATGGTAAAAATTATTCAAGAGGTACAAAATGAGTGCAGAGCCGAGGCCCTGTACCAAGAAGCTGAATGTTGTAATAAAAGCATTCCCTGGTCATTTTTGTTTGATAATAGTTCTTCTTAGGGTTTAAGGCTTATCTCCTTTTGCTATTGCAGGAGTACGTGGACAAAGAAAAGGCAATTGCCAAGGCACTTGAAGACCTTCGAGCCAATTTTTACTGTGAGTTGTGTGATAAACAGTATCAGAAACATCAAGAGTTTGACAACCACATAAATTCCTATGATCATGCTCACAAACAGGTAAAAAGCAGATTTTTTAAATTTCATTATTTGTGCTGTATGAGCGTCAGTTTCCAACACAGTGATAACTTCCTTCAGTCTGTGTAATGTTTATCTTTTTCCTTTACCCCCCCCCCCCAGCAACTACATCTTGATGTTTCTTGATTTTATAAGGTCCCATTTATAGCTTAACCAAAACATCAAGGGTGACAGTTTTGTCTTAGCTCAACAAGTCAAAGCAGCATCTCTTTTTGTTTTTTTCTTTAACAGGAAGTACTGTTGTTGAGTAGAAAATTGAAATTGGGTTCCTGACTTCTTTTTTTTTGATGTTTTTCTGAGTTACCCACAAAGGATAGGTGCTAGAACCTCAAATGCTGATGTTGTAGGACAGTTTTTGATCAGGTTAGAGTTGATGAGGTAGTTTATGCTTTGGTCACATCCTGAAATGTGCACTGGGGCTACCCATAAAAAATATCCAAAATTGCAGTTGGTACCAGTCTGTTCTGAAGAATCTGTACTGATTGCACTGTTTATGATGTTGATGTTGGTTTTACATCCCTCATTGATCTTACTGATTGATAGCTTATTTTCCATTACAAATCTGTCCAGCTGATCAGTTCTTTTGAAGATTTCCTTTTGAAGACTGGCCTGCTGTCAGACCCATGCTTCTAGCATGCAGTAGAAAACCTGTCCTTTTCTCAAGCTCTGGAACATGGGATCAGTTATGGAAACATCCTTTTTCCATGGGCCTAAACAACCACAACCACTCAGACTTTTCAGAATCGAGCCAAAATTTGTTCCTCCCCATCTGAAGCCAGACAGCCTTCAGACATTGAGCCATTACACCAGCAGTTTTACGTGAGCAGCTCAGGGTTGAAATGGCTGGATATTGAACCTCACACTGATTGTGATCACAACCAGAGGTTTCATGTAGATGTTAAATAGGAAGGAAGGAAGTATCAAGTCCTAAAAGGGGCTTTCAACAGTGAGGGGACATGGGTGTGATCTCTCCCACCAACACCAACTGAAACCAACCATTGAGGAAGGAGTGAATGAGGAGTGAACCATTGAAGAAGGTGTAATCTCTCCCACCAACACCAACTGAAACCAACCATTGAGGAAGGGGTGAATCACTGCAACACAGTGCCTTCTTACTTGTCCAGAAGGATATCATGGTAGATGGCATTGCAAGCCACTGAGAGATCAAGGAGCAAAAGAATGGGTGCATTATTCCAATTCCATCCAAAGATCATCAAAAAGTATAACAATACTGTATCCTGATCTAAAACAAATCTAGATCATCCATTTTCTCCAAGATCATCTGAAGCCACAATTTGACACAATTTTCTCTTAAAGGAAGATTGGAAACTGATAGTTGTTCAGAGTGGAGGGGTCCAGCAGTGACCTTTTGGGGAAGGACACACCATTCCATCCTTCAAATCCAGCTTTACTATCATCTTCCCTCAAAAGAAGTTGATACAATCATATGGACTCATTCCTTGATTGCTCCTGGGCTACTTTATCAACCCAAGAGGGGCCAGGATGTAATAGGGTAATGGCCAGACTGATACATTGAAGGAATTTGTCCACATCCTTGAGAATCACAAAATTTAACACACTCCAGAAGATCTCACAAAACTGTATTCTGGAAACTCACTTAGACCTGCCCAGTCAGAATACAACTCAGAGCAAATCCAAACAACTTTCTCCCTAACAGGGAGCGGCTCACTTGAAATAGACCTCTAGATGGCTATCAGTAGATGCAAGAAGGGCAAAGAAATGACAGTGTTTCACCGCCTTTATTGCCATTATGTGTGCCCAAATATGGACTCTCATTCATGTTCAGTCAGGTTAACTCTCTGCCTTTCTCCAGTAGCACTCTAATTGTCATGATGCTTCACCTCCCTCTCTCCCTCTCCCTCTCTCTCTCCCCCCCTCTCTCTCAAACACACATGCACACACACAGTCCATATTAATCACAGATAACAATAGCCTTTCACCTCCTCCTTGTCTGGGTCTTCTTAGGGTTCATTCAAGTGTCAGTTATGCACACCATGTCAGCAGCCTCATGCAAAATGACATCATGGTCAAGGGTATATTTATTACACACCAACCTAGCATTCAAAAGCAGTAGCCAGGGATACCAAGGCCCCATCAGTCTGGTCCCAATAGTGACTATTGAGGGCAAGTCATCAGGATTGTTATCAAACAGCATTCCTGGTATCCCTGAGTGTGACGCATCGTCATATTCCTGCCATGTTTATCCCTGCCTTTCACTGTACCAATAACGCCTCATAAAGACAGTCCTTGATTTACAATCCCAGTTGAGATCAGAATTTTGGTTGCTAAGCAAGGTGGCTCTTAAGTGAGTCACACCTACTTTTGCTACCTTTTTGCCACGATTATTAAGCAAATCACTACAGTTGTTTAGTAAATCATGTGATTGTTAAGTGAATCCAGCTTCCTCCATTGACTTTGCTTGTCAGAAACTGGCTGGTGATCACAAATGGTGATCATATGATTTTGGATCACTGCAACTATTATAAATACAAGCACCCAAATTTTGATTACAAAACCTTGGGTATGTTGCAATGGTTTTAAGAGAATAGGTTGTTAGTCACTTCTTTCAGTACCATTGTAACTTTTAACAGTTGCTAAATGAATGCTTGTAATTCAATTATTACTTGTTTGTATGCATTGCCCCTGTGGTGTCCTGTGCCAGGCACATCCATCCATATCTCCCAAACTCCCAGCACTATAGTCATACTAAACAATCACAGAAAAATAATATCCATCCATCCATCATAAGCACTCTGCTGAGTGTTCCTGATCCCCCTATGTCCTAAGGCCTCATTTTTCAAAGCACTCTGCAGCTGTGGAGCACTTGGGCTTCTCAAGGATTCCCCACTTTAAACCAATGTAAATGAATCAATACACATTTGTTTCTGTAGTAGTGAATCAGCAGCTATAACTGCTGTACCCTTTAGGGATCAACTGTTCTGTATCCCACTCTGCAATGAGGTTTTTTTTCTGGGGGAGGGGAGGTGTTCAAGGATTTCTGAGTTCCAGTAGCATAGAATATCTCCTATGTCTTTGGTTATGCTTAGCATTTTCATACACTGCTTGTAATATGTTTGTATGCATATATGTACATATTAGATGTTTACTTATTAGATTTTATCCAATTCGTATTACTCTAAGTAATTCAAGGCAACAAATATACATAATAGTCTTATTTTTCCCATAACAATCCTGTGAGATGGGTTTGGCAAAGATAGAGTGATTGGCTCAAAGTCACCCAGCTGGCTTTCCTACCTATAGCTGGACTAGAGTTTGCGGTCTCCTAGTCTCTAGGCCAGTACCTTAACCACTACATCAAACTGGCTGTGTGATTCTTTTTCTTACAGTAAGTTATGTCCTAGATCACTCCTGTTGTAGTGCCTTGCTTGTTTGATATATAAATCTTTCTTAAGAGCTGAAATGTGGCCTTTTGCAGCTTCAGTCCTCTGAGTTTTTTAAAAAAATGTTTATAAGCTTGCAATTCTTGCAAGCAAGCAAGGTTGTTTTCAGGCAAGAATATAAATGTGGTATTGCAGCAGGTCAGGATCACAGAATCATGTTCTTAAGGTACTGCCAGTGGAAAAATACTTATTGTTGTTCTTTTCTTGGCTCTCAGGTAAGCATATTGTGTACTTTTTATTTAGAGGAAATATTTGATAGGGCTTCCTTTGCTGAACTTTCCTACAAGTCTCCTTTTAATTCTCTTTATGTTTTTGCTAGCTTCCTGAAAGTTCCACTTTTCTTTCTGATACATAAATATATATTTTGTGGTTGGCCGTTATAATTATTTTGGGGTATGTACAAGTTCCCATGATTACTAATGTCATGGTTCCGATAGATGAGACAGTAAAAGCAGAACTCCAAAGCAAGAGGTTTCCTTAAAGAACATGTTTATTGGCTACAGAGTATCAGCAGTCAAAAGTGAAACCAAGTCTGGAGTTTCCTCCCAAGCGTTACAATGTTAACACTGTGTTAGCACTATGTCATTATCCACGTTCCCCAATAGAATACTTTGGTGGACTTTCTAAGGGAAGGCTCAGCCTGCCAAAAGTCAAGCAGCAATGACCTTGGTTCCCATGGGACAATTTATTGTTTAGTCTAACCTTAAAACCACTCATCCCCCCTCCTAGTACTGCGACAACCGAAAACGAAGCAAAAATGGCTTCAGCCAGGATCCTTGCAGTGTTGACAGCTATTTTGTGAGAAAGCACCTAATGTGCTATCAAAATTCAGATGTTCCAGCAGTCTCCAAAAACTGCCTATTCCTATTTTAAAATGTCAAGATTTTGTTACCCCAGTGAAGGTATTCATCTAGTAGACGCAGTCTATGGAATAATTTATCTTCTCCTTTTTGTTACTGTGATTTGAATCTTTTATAGTTAAAAAATGGAAAGGCAACTTTCTAGATGTTTTAGCAGTCTCCAAACTGCTATAGAAACATTGTTTTGTTCTGGTGGAAGAATCAATGCTGCCTCTTTGGCTAAAACTCTAGAAAGGTTTAAAGGTAATTCTCACAGATGCATATCTCAGTTATGGATTCATTAGTTTTTCTTCAATTGTTTTTTTGCTTTGCTTTGTTTCTCTTTTTTTCCTTTTACAAAAACATATGCCAGTCAATTTCTTCTGGGGGTCTGCTCTTGACCTCTGTTTACCCCAATCTCTTTCCTAAAAGAAAAGCAGCTTGATTTGTTCTATTTATACCCTGAATTTTTGGCCAACAGATGGAGCTTTGCAGTTAACAAAAACAAAAAACCTCCACAATATAATTAGAAGAAATTATTTTTAAGGTGAAAGTAGGGTTCTTCATGAGAAAGGTAATCAGAAAAAGGGAGAATTTATTTACCTAGGCAATTGCCAGAACAGTTGTGCATATATGTAGCCACAGGTTATAAGATAGGGCTTCAAAAAATTTGGGTGCTTGCTAAAAAAGCAACGAAAAATATATCCTATCCTTAATTACAATTTGTTTCTTGAATCAGAAGCAAAATGGTCACTAAGTGATCATGAGAGAGAGAGGGAGGGAGGGAGGGAGGGAGGGAGATATGCTACAAAGATCACTGGTTGCTCTTATTTAGGTAAAGTTCTCTTGAGCAGCAATGCCAGCATTATGCTCTGGCATGCATTGTTGTCAGACGCTCAAAATTTGTTTATGAGTGCATGCATTGGTCAGAAAATGATGTTTTAATCATTAGCCTTGTACTTGCTAATGGTCATTAAGTGTGGTAGCTGCTAACGAGGAATGGCTATATTGGGTTATGGTTGTTATTTTCAACTGAAGTATGATAGCTCAGTCCTATAAGTATGATAGCTCAGTCCTATAACTGTCACAGATGACTATATAGCAGGTTTTCCCTCCTATTCTCTTCATACCTACACCTACTTGGAATTTTGACAAAATGCATAATTGAAGATATGTACATAGATAATACCTTCTTATTTTGGAATGATTTCACATTCTTTTTTAAAATGCTAATCTTCAGTGAATATAAAGTGGATGTAAATAGATAATTCTAATGTCTGACAGAGCAAAAATAATTCTAGCATTTTACTATTTGTTAGTTACTATGAAGGAGGAATACACTAAGGCAACTGTGACACTTATAATGCATTGGATGACATGGTTGTGGCCTTTTACAAAATAGTAATATGTAATAGAACAGGATTGAGAAATTATTAAATACCTGACCACCAAGTAATCATTTTAACTGTATTTTAGTTATATTTAAATGTACATTACATTGAATATGGTGTTTGTTTGGGTTCTCCAATTACTTTTGGAATACACACTCAAAAGTCAAGTGTGGCTCTTGGTCCCAATAAAGTTGTATATCATTGAAATGGGTCATGACTAAGACTGAGTTTTTTTCTAATCGCTAGGAATGAGTAACTACTAGGACTAAGTCATCTTATCAGTCTGACAACTTGTCTTTGAGTGAATCTGTATCATTTCCAGCATGATATTTTATCTGTTCTTATTCTCTTTTGAAGGGGAAGGATAGGGTATGCATAAAACAGAGAAGCACTGATAAGGTAATGTCTCCATTGTATATTTTCACACTAAAACTGAAGAGATACTTATACATATAGAATCAATAGTGGCATGAATTCTATTTGATTTAGTCCAATTCTTTCACTCTTGCAGTTGAAGACTAAAACATAGATAAAATCTGCAGAATCTGTGTTTTCTCTGCAGTCATCCAGCATATATCCTATCTAAGTGGAGAAAGTCCATTGTATATAAAACTTTGTTCCATGCAGGAAAGTAAAAAGAGGGATGGTTTTCCTTATCCTGCACAGATAAATCCGTGATGACAAGTTTAACTGATGTTAGTTGGATGGTTGTATATGAACCTTCAGCCACATTGGGTTACTTATTTCTAAGTTAAGTGTGAAAATTGGTGGGAGTAAAATTCATTTATGGAGACCTTAAATTGAGGACAAAAACTGTAGTAGCAGCATCCCATAGCAATCCAGAGAGTCAAGAGGCAATGTTTACTAGTACATGTTCTTCTTCTAGAAGAACCTTGGATAGAATGAGTATCCATTGAAGAAGCGGGTTTTTCTTGGAGTAGAATTGTGTTATTTCGGTGCAAAGTGCAGGGTTTAGAATTAAGAATGTTTGCAGCCTTAGTAACAGTAGCTGTCTCTTCAGTGCACAGAAAAGGATTTCAGTAACTAAAGACAATCTAAGCTAACCACTTGAAACATAAAACAAGCTCCTTTAAAGCCATCTCATGACATCCAGTAAAAGTATAACCATATAATCATGCAAAACCTCCCAGATGTGCACAACTCATAGTGCTCTTCATTCCCCACTTGTTAAACTACTACATAAAAAACATTCTCATGGCCCCCCATTAAAACTGGGGTATAATTTTCTTTAATAGCAGATCTCTGTTGTTTGGGACTCACCAAGAACTTCATTGCTGCACAATTTGCCAGTGGGTATTGTATTTCCTTTACATGAAATTTGACTTTCCTATATTAATATATATGTCTGTATTAAAATGAGCAAAGTAAACTATCCACTTGGGACATTTACACATTACAGAATCAAGATAAGAGAGTTCTGCAGCTTTTTCTAATTAAATGTTATACATTTATTTGATTTATATATTGTCCTTACAAACAAAAATATGCATATATTTCATATAGCTCTTAGAGGGAAAGAGCTGAGCTTTCTTCAGAATTCCTATTATAAATCAAATGTAGTTTCGTGGATATCTCCCAAATATTTTAGGAATAGTGATTCCTAAGAAAGAAACAATTGCACAATTTTAGAATTGTGTACATATCCAGCTTTGTCTTTTCAAGTGACCTCTAAATTACCCTTCCAAAAGTCTCTTATAACATTCCTAAGGAATGTATTTGTTATTAATTATCTTACAAGAATAATACCTCTTTTTTCCAGATTTACACAGTTTGAATATAAAATTAGTGCTTACCATAATAAAGTAGCATTTCTCTTCCAAATGAAACTGGTTCTTTCTTGCTTTTGCTCTTGCATATTGAATCCAGCTTCTGAGATTTGATTACTATCCAAGTTGGACTCCATTTCCATCCTTCCCTGACCAACATGGCCGAATTTGCTGGGGAAGTTGTGAATAAGGAACAAATTATCTAGAGTAAAATACTGCAGCAGGCTGCATAGAAATGAGTATTTAGATAGGCTGAACCGTTACATTTATAAATGGGTTTTTATGTGCGTGCTTTTGCCATTTCCTTCTTGCGCTGATATTTAATACATTTGCATATATATCATAATGTGACAATGAAAAGGAGATTGTAAAGGCTAAATTAGTAAAGTGTTTAGAAATTAGAATGATCCTACTAATATCAGTCAGTCTTTTTTTCATAAGGTATGATGTATTTTAAAGAATTGTCTCTCTTTCTCTCCATAAGTTATATCATCATTTTCTTCTCTTATTTTGTACAGAGATTAAAAGATCTCAAGCAAAGAGAGTTTGCTCGCAATGTTTCTTCAAGATCCCGGAAAGATGAGAGAAAGCAGGAGAAAGCCCTTCGTCGTCTGCATGAGCTGGCTGAACAGAGGAAGCAACTTGAATGGTGAATTATGACCTACTACAAGGATGCAGAATATTTAAAGCTAAAGTCAGGGGGTATTTAAATAGAGCTTTTGACCATTTTGTTCCTTAAAAACACTCAAGCTGCCTACCATGGTTCCTAGTCCCTTCCAGTTTTTTACTTAGTCTTCAATAATCCTTGTAAAGCCTAATGTATTTGAGCTGACAGAATTTGCACAGAGCTGGTAAAACAAAAGGCAGTTTTGTTTCAACATGCAAGTTAGACTGACTTGTAACTAAAAATGCAATTATTTAAGTCATACACTAAGATAGAATGGAGTGCTGCTGCAGCTGCTTAAATCTTTGTAGACCAAAACTTTAATATGCCATTTTCTCATAACAGAAATGCCCTCCTCTCTCCAACTTATTTAGGATGATTTTTAAAAATGCAGGGTGTGATTGATATGAGTGCAAAAATGAACTGGAATTATTAATGCCAACAGTTCTGATGTTTTATATGAAAAAAGACCTAAGCCAAAAACAAATGGGCATTTATTCATACAAAGTTCTTTGTATGTATCCGAACTGTGTGTTACTTCATTCCCAGTCATTTTGAGGGTGTTTTTCCCCTCAGTTTTGAAGGCTGGAATTGTATACATCTAGTTTTAAATGTTATGCTGAGTTAATACACTTTCTCACAAGTGTATGCTTTAGAACAGAGTCACATTTTCATTGTGCTTGTAAGAGTAACTTGTTAAACAAATTCTATAGGGAAAGAGAATTTTTAAAACAATGGTCACTGAATATATTCATTGCTTACAGAGCAATTGTATAAAAGGTAAAAAGATTGCATATGCATAGAGTAAAGTTTTGAGTGTAACACTGTGAAAACGTTAATAATTATGTTTTCTATTCTCTTTTTTTGGTCTGCTTTTTCTGCTTCCCTGTCTTCCAGTGCTCCAGGAAGTGGGCCGATGTTTAGAACCACTACTGTGGCAGTAGATGAAGAAGGAGGAGAGGATGATGTGGATTCAAACTTTCTTGGTAGTTGCTCCTCCTCCTCACCAGCTTCTGGGCAAGCTAGCAACATGACCATGGATAAGGGTATAACTTACAGCAGTGGGCAAATCAGTAATAGTCCTGGACTTTCTCAGGTTCCTGCCCAGATATCACAAGCTGTTGGTCTGGGAATTAACAAGACAGGTGTTTCTTTCTCATTTGCCAAAAAGGCCCCTGTAAAACTAGAATCAATTGCTTCAGTATTCAAAGACCATGTGGATGAATCCAGTTCTCCTGATGATGAAGTTAAAAGTGATGAAAGAGCCTACTCAGATTCTGGAACTTTGGGAAAAATTGGTGAAATTGAGGGAACAAACAGCTCTGACAGCAAGGAAGAAGAAGATGAGCAATCACATGAGAAAGATGTCACATTATCAAAGCTAAAAAAGATGAAACGGGAGGATGGACCAGTGACAGCAGAACCAGAATATTATCATTATATTCCCCCTGCACATTGTAAGGTGAAGCCCAACTTTCAGTTTTTGCTGTTTATGAAGGCAACAGACCAAGTAGAAGCAGAAGCTGCAAGCAAAAAAATAGCCCGTGAAAGGAAACAAAACAATTCTCCCAAACTCAAAGTGACAAAAAGTGATGAGAAGGAGACAGCAACAGAATGTGTGATCCCTCAGAAGGAGCAGAGTCCTACCAACCAAAGCAACAAAATGGAAGGTAAGGACATTTTGGGGGAAACAGGCAAGCAAGAAGGAAAACAACTTAAGGGAAATAATTCTCTAGATTCAGATGTCATTAAAGAGATTCCCCAGGCTCCAGGAACTAGTAAGGAAACCACAGAAGGACCTAAGCATTTAACAGGGCCGTTCTTCCCTGTTCTGAGTAAGGATGAGAGCACCACCCTCCAGTGGCCTTCAGAACTGCTGATCTTCACCAGAGCAGAACCCTCTGTGTCATATAGCTGCAATCCTTTATATTTTGATTTTAAGCGGTCTCGTAACAAAGACACTAAAATGAAAGGAACAGAAAAACAGAAAGGTATGATAAACCTTTCTAAGGAGAAAATACAAGCTGCTGAAGATAGTGATGCAAGCAAAAGCAAAGAGAAGGATATTCTAGCTGGCGGTTCAACTGCATTGCCAGAAAGCAAGACCTTGGTAATGTGTGGCAAGCAGGAAGTCAGCCCTATAAGAACTGGCAAAAGTGAAAATCTGGAAGACAGCAGCAGAGGCAATCTTATTAGTCGCAAAGACAAAATGGGGAAGTCTCACAAACACAAAAAGAAGAAGAAGCACAAAAAATCCACCAAACGTAAACACAGGCGCAAATGTGAGGCAGAGGAAAAAAGCAGAGAAGGGGACTTAGCAGAAGATAAATCTAAGAAGCAGAAGAAACACAAGCACAAAAAGAACAAATCATCTTTTCCTACTGAGGCTGAGCGGATGCAAAAGATTGAGGATACTGGCTATTCTAAAAAAAGAAAGTGGTGTGTACAAGACTCTCAGAGGAAGTCTCTTTCTATTGAAGAAAGCAGTAAGAAAGAGGATGGTGGTACTTCTTCCCAAGATTATGGCAACAAAAAAAACAAGGGAGACTTGCAGCAGACTTTGTCTGCAAGCAAAAGACGACCTTCCACCTCCACTTCAGTTTATCCCGGTCATCGAGGCCAACAGAGCAGTGGTGGCTATGAGAGTGATGGAGATTCCTCCTGCCATAAGCACTTCAGGCAGAAATCAGCATCACAATATAGTGATGATTATGACTCTGGCAGTGACTGTTCACGAAGCCGCTCCCGATCAGGACATAGACACTCCTCAAGAAGATCATCTCAGAGATCCTACACATCAACTTCATATGCTTCCTCTGACAATAGTCGGTACAGTCGGCGTCATAGCTACTCAGAAGACAGCTATAGCGATTACAGTGACCGATCACAAAGTCGTACTAAGCACTCCCATGATTCAGAGGATGATTCAGATTATGCCAGTTCCAAGCGCAGGTCAAAGAGGCGCAAGTACTCCTCTTCAGAAGACTACAGCCTAAGCAGAAGCAGGTCTCGGAGCAGGAGCAGAAGTCGAACTCACACCAGAGGGAGGTCAAGGACTAGAAGTCGAGGAAGGACGCGCAGCAGCAGCTGTAGCCACAGTCGAAATAAGCGACGGAGCAGGAGCCGAACAGGACATAGCTGGAAACGGAGTAGAAGCTACAGCCGAGAACGTAGTCGGAGCACAAGAAGCCTTTCACAGAGATCTCTTTCACGGAAGGGGTCCCGTGGTCATGAAAGCCCTGGGGAGAGAAGATCTGGCCGTCGTGATTTCATCCGGTCCAAGATCTACCGCTCACAGTCTCCTCATTATTTCAAAGTCAGACAAAGTGAAGGGTTTGCAAGAAAGGACGAAGCCAGAGGAGAAGAAGCTACAGGAGCCCCCAGTCTCTCTCAGAATATCAGTAGCTCTAACTTTGGGAACAGCTGTAACTCTGAGGAGAAAAATTCTGCCACAGCTAAGCTCCTTCTGGAAAAAATACAGTGTAGAAAAGTAGAGAAGAAATCTAGCAGCAATGATGATTCCATTGCAGGATCTCACAAGGTAGGAATTAAACTGAAAGATCCACCACAGGGCTACTTTGGCCCAAAGCTTCCTCCCTCATTAGGCAATAAGCCTGTTCTTCCATTAATTGGAAAACTTCCTGCAGTTAGGAAACCAAGCATCAAGCAGTGTGAGGAATCTGGTTTAGAAAGAGAAGAATTGGAACTAACAGAGATGGATGAAACAACTCATGAGAGTGGAGACATTGTTTCAGCAAGCCAGCCTCAAGTGGAGGAAACCATAGTGACTGGAATACAGGACATTTCAGCTGATCAGAACCCAGAAGTAACCACAAAGCTAGTTCCTGTTCCTCTTGAGGCCCCAGTACTCCCAGAGCAGTATGGAACTGGAGACCTGGTTGTGCCACACAACTTCCTCCCTGATTCCAATGAAAATGAAGCTTTAGAGCCTCTTGACAGTGGAAACCAATCTGTCTCTATAGAAGGAAGGATGGTACCTTTAGTCCCTGATGTCGAGCATTTTCCTAGTTATGTAGCACAAAGTGGGGAGCCCAGCGTCAGTGGGGAGCCTGAAGGCAATGAAGACTCTTCCCTGGCACCTCTGGAGAGTCAGCCCATCACCTTCACACCAGAAGAGATGGAGAAATATAGCAAGCTTCAACAAGCAGCTCAGCAGCATATTCAGCAACAGCTTCTTGCCAAGCAGGTCAAGACCTTTCCAGCCTCAGCTGCCCTAGCTCCTGCCACAGCCCCTGCCTTGCAGCCCATTCATATCCAACAACCTACGGCAGCTGCAGCCACTTCCATTACCACTGTGCAGCATGCCATCCTGCAGCATCATGCAGCTGCAGCAGCAGCAGCCATAGGAATCCACCCTCACCCACATCCTCAGCCTCTTGCTCAAGTACATCACATTCCCCAGCCCCATTTGACGCCTATATCATTATCCCACTTAACTCATTCAATCATCCCAGGGCACCCTGCTACATTCCTGGCCAGCCATCCCATCCATATCATCCCTGCTTCTGCCATCCACCCAGGTCCTTTCACTTTTCATCCTGTCCCGCATGCTGCCCTCTACCCAACTCTCTTAGCTCCCCGACCAGCAACCGCTGCTGCCACAGCATTACATCTCCATCCCCTTCTCCACCCCATTTTCTCAGGGCAGGATTTGCAGCATCCTCCTAGTCACGGCACATGAAGAAGTGAGAAAGATGTGGCCTCTTTTGGGGAAAAGATAAGGGCATATATATCTGTGTGCATTGGTGTTTTGTACAGACTGTCTGAAGGCCATGACTGACACCACATGAGAATAGTGAAATGGGAGAACTAGGTGTGGAAAGGGGAAGTGAATGTAACATATCCATGCAAAGGGGGAAATGTTGCTGGAGTCCTGCTTGTCAGTATTTTCAGGGTCCTCTGCACCCAGAGAGGTGACTTATTCACATCTATATGAATGTGAAGTTTTTAGCAGTTATGCCCCTTTTAATTACTAATGCTTGTGTTTTTAAATCATTTCCTCTCCACCCTGAAATTCTGAGTGAATAATATCTAAATTATTTGCCTTCCTTATTTGCTATTTATTTGAGTTCATTTTAAAGCTTAAGCAAAAGAGTCAAGATATAGTCAACATCCAACCCATTCCTCAGTTCCTCTCCCTACCCAACCAAGAACCATTTTCAACAACCTGCTGATTATTACAAACAGCAAGCTTTCTTCTCAAGCAAGCCTGGCCCTGCTCTCCTCCCTGTGCCACTACCACAAGGGGAAGGAACAGAAAATAATTCCTTTATCAGTCTTTGAAGCAATATGTTGTACTGGAATCTTGGGAACATCCAGAATATGACTTGTATTCTGTCCTCTGTAATATTTGATGGCTCCTTATTAACTTATGATTTTTTTCAGAAGAGAAAAGGTTTTTAAAAATTGCACTGAACTCTGTACATGTCAATGCTGCTTTTTGTAGCTCTTCTGACAAATGTTCCATAATGATAGTATACTGCAATAACATTTTTATAGCTTGCTCTCTGAGTGGTACTTGTTCAGGTTGTTTGGGTTATCTATACATTTTGATGTAGTTGGAAAGAAAGCTTGCAACAAAGGTTCAGAGCTTGTTGTGGCAAAGGCATAAGAAGACTCCAAGCATGTGTATTCAAGCTCGGTTTTGTTTTCTTGGGTGCCATGGAAAGGGAAAAAATAGTTACTTTTTACAGGAGAAAATTTGGAATAAAGTAAGGAGCAGTGATACAACCCTTTTTGTACCATAGCTAATGAATTTCAGCGACTGTAGTGACATACCTTGGAAGATCTGTGAAGCCTATGTGATACTTTGATCTTTACTGCATCCTCTTGTCAGGAGCCAGGCTGCTATTTGGAAAGAAGTAGCCCATTGGATAGGCAGAAAAGAAAGTCCAAATGACTTTCCAATCAGAAGAAAATCTCAAAAGGCTAATAATTTTTCTTGGGATCTAAGTCTTTGCAGCAACAAAGTTTTAATATAGAGGTGTGTGACTGTGTGTGTGGTTTTGTGTGTGTATCTATGCACGCACACTTGTGTTTATGTTAAGGCTGTTGTTTAAACGTGTGCCTTTACTGTATATCCTTTGGAAAAGATTCTGAGTGGTGTGTTTTTATTTAGATTCCTTCCAAACGAAGTGATAAGTAAGTTACCTGGTTTCACAGCTGTCCCTTTTAATGGAGAGAATGTCTGCCTTAGGAAAGACAGACCAATTTTGTTACATTTAATTCTTTCACTTAATTTCTTCATCTCTGGTGGGGGAAAAGAAGGCAAGAAAAGAAAGTGAGCTTTCTGTGAAACCACGGCTATTTTATAACATAACCATCCAACTCCTTATAATGTTGATCATGGAAAATAGCCTCCATTTCAAAACTTCCAATAAAACCATTGTTATTTGCTTCTCTGAATATATCAGACTCTAGGCTTCCTGATACTTTGCTAGTTAAAAAAAAAAAAGCACTAGAAAAGGAAAATGCTGTTCTGACCAAGGGACTCAGTATTTAATTGCTTAGATAACTGAGGTAGCAAAATGGTATTACTGTAATTACCGAGTGCTTCGTTCTCCTGAGATTAAGATCCAAAATCCAGCATTCCAGTGGGGCATAAGAGGAGACTGGACTTCTGCAAGAACTGTTCCAACAAAGAACATACTATTATTTCAGTATCAGCAGGCTATATTAAACTTTGACACATAAAAGTATGTAAGTGTGTGTGTGTGTGTGTGTATGCACACACATATACATACACACAAACACACTGTAAAAATGAGAAAAATAAACTTTATAATCTTTCCAAAGAAGCAGAATCAAGTTGCTAGTTCTCATATTATCACACCCACTTTTTTAATATGTCTTAGCAAAAAGAAGTCCTGTAAACCTGGCTCAGTACATTACATATGGTTTATCTAACCATATGTAAACATATGCATAATGCATGTGCAATGAAGTTCATTCTGATATTTTGAAGCATATGAAATACAACTTATAAAAATACTCTGGTATAAAATACCATTCACACTGATGTACCAATATACTGGCTATTCAAACATTACAAAAACCATGGAGAAACTTGGAAAAGAAGATTACAATAGAAAGCTTTTGTTTACCATCTCTTGTACTTTCAGTCTAGAGAAAACACTCAGGTCTACCCAAAGAATTAGTAACTTAAGGCAATGAAGAAAATGACTTTCCATTCCCCTGCAGAAAAATTCAGATACTGTATTAATTAGATGAGGAGGAGAGAGTGGAATTGAAGAGTGTGGAGAAGCTGCTACAATTGTCATTCAACCTCCAACATCTGTCAGGAAGGGCAATTTCCTCTATTATCATAAAGATCAATACTATATGTTATCTCCTAATTGACTTAACAATTCTTTTTGACATAAGGACATATTTTTAGGTAAAGGACTGAGCTATAACCAGCCATTTTTACTTTTCAAGAAAAATTACGGTTTCCATCTGGGTGTTATTCTTGAAATAAAAGTGCTTTTACTTTGCTTTGAAGCATACTAGCCTCCTATTTTTTTGGTGTTTTTTAATGTTAAAAAGCAGATGGAATTCAACAAGCTCGAAGAAAATATGTGTAGATATGTGTGCTGCTATTACCACAATGAACTCATAATTGGTTGTGACTATCCAGAAGGGATTATGATTTTATACTAATTTGTAGAAAGCTTTCCATGCAGTAGAATGTTTATAGGCCTGTACCATCAAACCTGGATCAATGAATATCAGCAAGCAATCAATGTGAGCCTATTAAGGAATTTCAAGCCCATCCAGGTCAGACTGGATACCAGCATTAAGAATAACTATAGGAATGACACCTGGGCTAATGCTTATGTAAAGGAAAAAAGAATTGTGGGTTGTCAAGATTGAAAAACACTAGTCTAGAGGAATTTCATATTTAATATTACTTTTTAAAGGGAAGCCTCTAGTAAGTATTCTGGCTTTTTGATAAGGCCTATATTGGTTTCTCCATGCATAGTGGAGCAACTGCAGTAAGTTGATAACAAGGCCTGGTCATGTATACAAAGCAGGAACTGTTCTCCCAATAGATAAGGCTACAAAGTCAATTTTACAAAAGAATTTGTCCTGCAAATCTAATTGAGCCATAGTTTCAGATGGGAGAGAGTCATTTTATGTTTAAAAGAACTATTGTCAGTTAATACAGACTTTGAAAACTGATGTTCAAATTAAAATCCTATCTCAGAACTCTTGATATCCTCATGTCCTATGTTGTACAGCAAGTATCTTAGGTTTGAAAACTACACAGCCTAGACTGTTTGATCCTTATTAGTAAAGGCTTTCATAGTAATGCCAGATCTATTACTCTACTTACTTTATTAACTGATTAAAGGCTTAATATATATTGCAAATCTGATTTAAAAATACACTTCAATTCCTTATTTTCATCACATTATTTGCTTTTGGCTAAAGGCTATTTGTAGTCATTTCAATTGGCACTCTTCAAGTTGAGGTAATGTACTCTTAAATTTGGTGCCACATGCAGCCTTTCTATGTGATACACTATTACTATATAAGATTGCTTCATAAGCAAGTACTAACAAGATTTCATTGTTTTAAAAATGTAACTTGAAAAACAGTATATATTAATTTTAAATATTACAAGTAATGCAGATAATTAAAATAACTTATATTCAACAGAAACCTGAGGCTGATCATAAACTCATTTCTAGAACCCAGTTGAAGTGAATTAAATGTTCATCAGATGGCAATTTAACAGCAGTGCAAAATAAATACAGGATGGTATATGTATTGTTCTTGTCAATAAATATCCCTTGGGACTCTAGTGATGTTCTGTTGAAGACACATTATTGTTACTATTCTTGCTATTTTTTCCCCTAAAGTACAAGACATTATTTGCTGTTAACCTTCCTCTGCCTAATTTGATTTGTAATTTGGAATTGCTGTAGGTAGACTTCAAATGTCTTTTTAAAAAGAAAAAAGCTTGTAATGACTGGAGAGTTTTGACCTAATGCAATGGCTATGGTCTCATGCATGGAAGTCTTGTACCAAATGACAAAGTCACAATTTTATCTGCTGAAGCGTACTTTTCAAGTTTATTCTTAAAAGTGTAGAATTCAATAGCAACATCTAAGCTTTTATTCAAAAATATGTATTACTAGTCTGGTAAATTGGTAAAAAAAATTGCTTGAAAGAGACCAGTGCCTGACAAAAAAAAGTTTGCAGGAAAGGCAATAAATAATTGTTTAGTGGCTAAGCTGGTGGTGTTCATCTCAGAAAATAGATTCCTTACTTAAATATTTTTTTTAAAAAAAATCCTTTTGTCTTACATCCCTTACATTCAATCGGCTTGATTGGAACAGCTTATAAATCCTGGGAATAAAAATAACAAAAAATTCTACAAACAATTTTTAATTATAACTATGAAGCATGCTGGGAACTAATGTTGATAACAGTTGTTTCCTGAAGGTTAACAGTCCATGCTCTTTCCTCAGGAAGGAAATGGAGGCTGGGTGGCGATTTTTTTAAAAAAAGTAGCCCTCTTAGTGAATTTGCTCATAATCTGTGATATGAATCACATCATGGAAATCGTGGAGAGAAAAAGTATTCTACTTATAAGGATGACACTTGTTTCCTCTTAGCATCTTATATAAGGATCTATCAGAAACCCAACATCTGCTATCTATGGGGGGGGGGAGATGGTTGTGGGGAGGGCAAGTTTGTAATATCTCAGCAATATCTGTAACTTCTTTAGCATTTTTTCTACCAAACTTATCTGCTCATAGAGTCACCATGTATTAGAGTTAGGAAATATGTTACAAGGGCTTTGTAAATTTACAGGAAATTAATCCCACAAAGCATACTAAAATATAATGATTTTATTTCTATTTGAATGGAAACGAGAAGAGGTGCTGCTTTCACAATACAAACGAGGTTACCTAAGACACTTTAACAGTTGTCTCTGCTGGACTTCCCCAACTCTTCTGCAACCCTTCTGAGAAGCAGCAATAAAAAAGTAAAGTGGGGATTTGATTTATATATGCTTGATTAAGCATCACTGGCACAAGCAGGATGGAGTCTTCTATCTTCAGCCACCACCATCATCCCAAATTGCCCATTTTTCATTCATTTACAGTCTTCAGATACCATCTGACTCTTTGCCTCAAGTTCCTCAGGATCAGTTAATCGGTTCCTCCTGGAATAAACAGCTTTGTCAGCCAATACTGCTTACAACTCATTTTGAATTCTTAGAATCCATCTTTTTCCTTGCCTAAGATTGCCTAAATTTCCTGGCTAGAATATTAACAAATCCCTCCCCCCACTTTTCATTTGTTAAAAAGTTTCTTTTTATAGAGAAAAGGCTGTACATTCTTCTCCCTGCTAATTTATCGGTTTAAAGAATAGTATGTACATAAAAACTGGCTGTCAAAAGAGACAAGCAGTTTAGTGTAGTGGTGAGGCATCAGGCTAGAAACTGGAAAACTAGTCCTGCCTTAGACACTAAGCTACAAAACTGGGTTACCTTAAGCCAGTTAACTTTCTCTCAGCCTGGGAAGGAGACAAATGGCAAAATCCTTGCCAAGAAAACCAGAGACTTGTTCAGGCAGTAACTAGGACTCGGGACTGACTTGAAGCACCTGCCTCTCCTCCATCCCAAAATCTGTGAGGATACTTAAGCAGTTATCTATTTTAACAAGTCACCGTCCAACCCGATCGATGTATGAAAATTGCAGCTCATAAATATGTATATTAATAAATGATGGCAATGGAGGGTTAATGATGCTTTGCAACAATTCTTGGGCCCTAATAGAAGTTTGCTTCAGCTTGTTTCAAAGGCAGCCATGACATTGTTCCCATTTTTTATTGCTATATTCATGGAGGACCTGCTGGGGAACCTCTGCAGGATGTCTGATAAATTGATATCTTTAGCTCATGACTGCAGGGAGGAAGCAATTTAGGAAATGTGTCATGGTTGTGGTTATTAAGGGTATGATAGAGTTAGTTTTATAGCATGAACAGCATAGTGCTGGAAAAGAAGGAATATGAAGAAGATGGTTAAAGGCCACAGGTCCTTGGGTTCGCTGGTCACGGTCTGGCCCTTCCTGGTGGAATTTCTGTTCCTTTGCCAAAGAGGATGGACCATCAATTTGCATGCAGATGCCCCCACTGTGTATTCTGGCCCTCCTGGAAGCTATTTTGGATTTGCCTTGGACTTCTTCCAGGACAGTAAAGGAAGGTAGGACCATATTGGGCAGAGAATAGTAGACTCTGGCATTGTTAACAGGAATCAGGGAATACAAGGTAATCAGTTTCTTATGACATTGTGTCAGCACAATTTATTGTTTGATAAATGCTAGAGAGATATTCCCAAGCAGAGAACTTTAATAATGTTCCGATGTTTGTGAAATCTTGAATATGGGTTTAAAATCTAAGTATTTTTTTAAGATTATTAAAATAATTCACACAAATTCCAAGACTACTGTGTTAATGAATCTGGAAAGATTCATTAAAGCTGGACAACATTTATAAGAATTGGGCCTCAATAATTCCATGGAAACAACATAATAATTATCTCTTCCTGATTCTCAACATCCAGTAGCTACATATAATTTGTTTCTTAAAAAGAGAGTACTTTTTCAGATCAAAAACTTCATTTGGAAGAATGAAAATCAAATGATTATTTATTCTTAAACTAGCAACTAAGCAAAGTTCATTACAACATGCTAAAGTTAAAACAGAATGGTGCTTTGTTAATATACAGATAGTACTTGAATTAAACTATTCACTTAGTGACCAAAGTTAAAACAGCACTGAAAATAGTGACATAATCAGTCTTCACACAACCGTTGTAGTATCCCCATGGTCACATGATCAAAGTTTGGGTGCTTGGCAAATGGCATGTATTTCAGAAAGTTGCAGCATCCTGGGATGTGATTGTGCTTGCAACCTTCCCAGCTGGCTTCTGCCAAGCAAAGTCATTGGGGCAAGCAGGATTTGCTTAATGACATCATGATTGACTTAACTGCAGTGATTCACTTAACAACCATGGCAAAAAGCTCATAAAATTGGGTATGACTCAAATGTGGTTGTAAATTCAGGACTAGGATAATATAATTACACACTGAAATGGAATACCACCAAGTGCTGCTACAGTGGCCAATAACCCCGAAGATCAGTACTTGCTTCAGGATTTTTTAAATTGTTCCACAGAAAACCAAGATTTCATGAGAACTTGATAACAGTCCATGAGAGATTAAGGGAGGAAAAATTGAACACAGCTGATTTTTCATCACTTAAAGTGTTATTAGAGATTTGGGGTGTTTTTTTTAATTAGTAAATTCCATAGAAGAAGTTTGAAAATACCTGGTCTAACTCATTCATAAAGCTAATCTACAACATTTATCAATGATTCCCTAACAATCTATAATGCTATATTATGACTTAGTGTTCTCTGTGAATCAGATTAACATCTCTATTGATGGCTAATAGACCTGTTACCCATCTCCATTTTCATTTTTCTAGATAATGTTACAACGTCTCTTAATATTGTAACATTCTATAGGCTTTTTAGATATATTGGATTTGGAAATTATAAGGCCACTATAGTTGGAGTTTGCCCAGTTTGAAGAGGCTGAGTTAGATTAGTTAGTTTCTGCTTTCCAGCATTATTCAAAGATTGAAGGTGGCTCTTGACTTGAGTTTAATGGGTGGGCAGGAGGAGCCCACTCAACCTGATTATGACACAGATCTTTTTGTGCATATACATTGTTTCCTAGAAGTGATTAAGAAGTTGATTCCTGTTATTCGTTCCAAAAAACTGATCTTTATGTTATGCTACTTATGATGATAAATAGCAACCTACTTTCTGATCAGTGGACACCAGGCAGCACAGCCTAAACCAGGAAGTGCTGATAAATGTAGTTTTACAATATATGATAGATCTACGTATCTCATTTATACAGAGATGCAACCTAAAAATTGTGTAAAGTGTCCACTCTTCAAAAGATTATCAAAGGTGAAAGAAAACCCTTTCTGCTTCAGACTCTTCAGTAGAGAAATTTAATTATTTAATTGCAGCTAACCTGCTCTCTGTTACATATGCAATATATACTCCCCTTGTTCTCTCCATTTATTTAGAGCAGAAAAAGATGGTCCATATTTTCCCATCATCATTTATGATTTGTTTTTATGATGCAGCTGGCCTTTAAGAAGAAAGAGAGAAAGCAAAAATCAAATGCAATAAACATACTTTTAAAAGTTAACATTCATGCCATACTTGTAATTGTCTAAGATACACTAACATTAGGTCTAACTGAAATAGAATAAATCCAAATAATCAAATCCTTGGTATTCAGGATAAATCATCCAGTATCATATGACCACACTTGTCTAAACATGCTGACAACATTGCTAGGATAATTATAACTAATTGTAGGTGGAACAGCAAAGTTCATCTTTTTGCAGTTTTTACATTGTTCTAAAAGATGAATATAGGAATTGTTCTTAAGATCCTCCTGCATGTTTCTTACAGAATGATTCATGCAATAGAATCATGGTTCATTCCAGTTCTAAAAATAACAACATATTTAGATCTGAAACTTAAAAAAACATTTAACAGTGCAATCCAAAACATTTGATTATGCAACTGACATATTTTTGTCTCACAGAATACAATATAGTGATTTTTAGGGAAGGCACATATGTACGCAAGGATACTAGAACTGAACACTTAATCAAAAAGCACAGCTTTAATCTTGTGAGATCATGTCTTGAAACAAATATAAAAAAAAGCAGATATAAAATATGAAAGATTGAGCTATAATTATACTAAGTTTCCAACTTTTCAAAGGCAAGATTACTAGATGAAATGGAGATGGAACTTCATACTCTATTGTACGCATGCTGCCCTTTGGAAAGTCTTGATTTTTCGGGAGGATTTTGATTAGATAGCCCTTCAAACAGAATATCCCTTTGTGAAACAATATTGTAATACTGTATTTCCGCAATGAGTTAGCTCATAATATAACTTGCTGGCTATTATTTATTTTTATTTATTTATTTTATTTTATTCAATTTTTATCCCGCCCTTCTCCTTACCGGACTCATGGCGGCTGACAGCCTTATAAAACAGATACTACAATAAATACTAATTTAAAACCAAATTAAAAAGAAATATTCACTATGGCCTATATAATTAAAATTTCACTTAAAACCCCACTAAAAATTCCCTAGGCCAATCCTGCTTGTTGGAAGAGCCATGTCTTTAGGGCGCGGCGGAAGGAGGGGAGATCCGGGATCACCCGGA